CAGGTGCTGGATGCTGAAACGGCCGGTGTATAAATATATCTCACTGCTGTCGGTTGAGCTTTTTTTTTTACTTTTTCTCTCGCCTTTTTTTTTTTTTGAAGATGGCTTATGGCCGGACGGGGGATTTTTCCTATGCTAAGGTGATACACCGTACTTGTGCAGTTATTTTTTGGTTTATTCCCTAATTTTAAAGGCTCTCTGATTATGCTCTGTTAACATCGCTCACCTCTTAGAGTTGGGGCTGAAGAGCTTTAATTCGGGGGCTGGATAGAAGGTAGGGTGAGAAAGCTTCCAGTGCTAGGACACGGATTGAAATCTGTGCAAGGTGGGAAGTGTGATGCTGGTTGTTAACCTGAGTTTCAGGCACGGCCAGCATGTGTGTGCTTAGAGGCCTCTTTTTCCCCACTCACTGTTTAAGAAAGGCTGTAACGTGATGAATTCACAGAAATTCAGCTGTTCTTACAGTGTGGTAAAACTGCCTAATGGGCAAGATGCCTCTACCTGCCTTTTGTCCTGTGCAGTTTATAAGATAGGAATTCATCATTATTCAGTGTCTTAGGAGCTGTGTTTTTGAGGAATTCAATGGTAATTGGAGGTCTTTGTTGGCAGTGGTGATATAGAATCAATTATAAGGTATACTGAGCCAGTTCTTTTAGAGATGGGAGGTAAACTAAAGACTGGAGGAGCTTTAGCAGCATATATGGAAACTTTCATAGGTAATTTCCATTCTCTTTCTGCTCCTTGGATAAGAAGATGGCTTGTTTCCTGAGCTGTCAGCCTAGTGATATTTGTGAGGGTTGTGTTTATGGGGGGAGTAGAAGTAGCATGTTGCATTTACAGCATGTCTGTGCCATATTTAGGATTTTTCTGGATATCCTTGGTTGCTGTGTACTTTGGGGAGACTATTAATTAATATAATATTAATTTCCACGTATTTTTGTGCAAATGGCAGGTGGTATAAAGACAGAAGTGTGTAACTTAAGTTAGGTGGGTGACCTGGATGCTGCTAAGTTATCTTATGCAATAATCATCTTCTTTCTGAGGTGTGGGCCTTTAACTTATTTTTAATTATAGCCTCTTCTGTCAAAGTCAGTGTTTCACTCACACATTCTTTTTAAAATATATTTCCCCCCCTTTTATAGGAACACAGTAAAATATTTGTTATATTAGGATCTGTTTATAGTGAGAGTCTGCTGAATTTGTTCCCTTTCACCTTCTCTCAGATTTGGCTCCCGTGTATATAATAAGTAGTTCAGAATTCAACAAGGGTGAGAGAATACAAAGTTTCTTGAGTTCTGTATTATTAGCATGTAATATGATAAAGAATATTGTTCAAAAATGACTCAAATCGAATTCTAAGTTCATCTCACTGAAGACCTAGTCAAAAACAATCCCCCTTCTCTGAACCAAACTACCTTTCTACTTCCTGCTAGAAGATCCTCTGGATGTTAGAGTGACTACTTTTATAAGGGGCACAATATAATTTGTTCAGACTTTTCTGTAAAATAGTCTTTGAAAAGATGAAAAAAAAAAAAGGTTGAAGGTAGGTGAATGACTGTATTAGACTATGCCTCTTGTAGAAAATTTTTGACTGGGTCAAAATTCACGTGGTGAGCTACAGCCTTAGGAATTGATTGTGAGTTGGTATCTGGCCCTTTTACAGACAGGAAGAAGTCTGCTGTCATCTAGTTGGGCATAATTATATAGGCAGATTAAAGGAACCAGTATTTGAACTGTTATATTGACATCTCCTATGTTAATGAATAATTTCTTATAGTGAATTTGTTCTAAGTTTAGAAGGATTACTCATGAAATAATAATTCTTTTTTAATTATTGATTTTCTTTTATTCTTAGTGACAGTTGCTTAATTAAATAAGGTCTCCTAAGGATAACATTCTTTAATCTCCAAAGATGGCAGCTGTTGCAGGTAATCCAAAATCAGTATTCAATATGTTCATTTTGCCAGCTTTTAGCTAACGGACACAATCACCTGATGTTATTAATTGTTATTTATAGGAATTTAACGTATGCAGAAAAGAGTTTGTGGAGTCTATGCTGTTATACTTCAGATTTGAAGAAAAAGTTATTTTACTGCATAACTTATGGTTTCTTAGATAAAAACTAAAGCAAAAGCATGTTTCTCAAAGAAATTACATGGTTTTCAGTATTTTGAAAATAAGCTTCGTATTTTAAGATACTTTCAGCTCTTTCCTGCTGTGTAACAGTGGGTATTTAGGAAGACATATGTCTCCATTTTGTGTCATTTGTAATGAAGATATCTTTTTCCATTTCATACATCTTTGCTTCCATAAGCAGATTATCATATCTGCTATGCTTGGACCAAAATGTCTTTATTTTGCGGGGTGGAGGGTGGAAGGAAGAAATTTATTCTTATGCTTTTCTGACCTGGCTCTGAAATACTGGTACACACTTGGCATACTGTGGCATGTGTTAATTATTCTTTTAAACCCTGAGGACTGGATTCTGGAACACAATCCGTAATTCACACAGATGCATATTAGTTTGTAAAGAGGCAAATTCCCACCAAAGATTCACTATGTAGCCCAAGCTTTTGGGAAGTATTTGCTTCAGCTTTTTCAGATCTGAAGAATGGCTTGGGTTCGCAAAAGCTTTTGTCCTCTGTGTTCAGACCTTGACAACCAGCAGATCCTTTGGTTCTGCATAGAAGCGAGATCTTGGTGCATGAAATGTAGGTTTTGGTAATGTCCCTGTTTCCATCTTCAGAAGTTCTTTACTTGCTGAGATTAATGTTTCTTCTCACATGTAAATGCTTTCTGTTAAAAATGTTCTAACGTTTTGCTCACCTTGGAATTGGCTAGAGTACTTACTGTCTTCATCAGGGCAGATGCAATGTGCTTTTCACTGCTTAACATGCATCTGCAGAAAATAAAATAATTTTAAGTGTTTCTCTGGAGAGGCGCTGCTTTTGAGAAACTAGATTGTGATATATTTTTTTCACTGTTAATCAGCGCAGGGAATGAGAGTTGCATATCTCTCATGTGCCTTGTCGGAGATGACGACTTAGAGTATATCTGAGTATATGTGACCTACTAATATAAAAATATGTTAAGCTGTGCTAAGTTTTTTTCCATGGCATATACAATGCTAGATCCTATAATCTTATCAGTGGGCCTGTCAGGTTGTCTGTTTCTCTAGATGCTTTTGATTTGTGTTTAGTTTTGATTTTCTCAATCAACAAATGAAATACAATATCCTTTAAAACTGGGATATTTAAAACAATTTCCTTTAAAACAATATCCTTTAAAACTTAGCATGTTACTGTAGTCTCTATTCTGCTTTCACTGTGCTTTTCTCTTCAGTGCTAGAGGAGGTTCTGGTTTCCATTGAAAATGAGCTGCAGGCAGTGGAGATGCAGATTCAGGAGCTTGTGGATAAACAGCAAGAACTCATTCAAAAGAAGATGAGGGTAAAGAGCCTGATAAAGCAGTCCTCGGGAGACTTGGAGGCAGGTGGAAGTAAAGACACAGAAACCTCAGCCGAGGCATGGAGCAAAAAAGGTTTGCAGAGTCAAATTCAACTATTGTAACATAGAAGTAAACTAATTCAGTAGGGGGAAAGAAGTGTTTGTACGGAGTTTTGTTTGGATAATGATATTGTCCTATTTTGTTTTGTTCAGCTGGGTGACCTGCTGTCTTAATTACACAGGGTAACATTTGCGCTTAACTTCCTGGACACTCCTAAATACTAATCTTTATTCTTCTGGCAGAATTATCACAAGAATGGCCTGTTATAACTACTTTCATTCTTTTCTTGTTGCAAAGTCACAACTTAATTTGGTTTGCTGTAAGAATCCCAGAGTATATCTGGATGTATTGCAATACTTATATTCCCTGTTCTAAAAATAATTACTCGGGATCTTTTCAGGATTTGATAATAGCAATCTTGCACTCTCAAAGTTACTTCTTGCTGTCTTTGAGTTTCTTCTTGCTTGAGTGGGTAGGACATTGGTTGTGTCTGCCATGTGTTATGTAGCCTCACCATCTTACCAAATTATGCAAATTAGATGGATGCTAACTGCCAAAAGTAACATAGAATACATTAGTATGGTAGAGTTAGTCCAAGTGGCAAGTGTCCTGTGATGGTGTGAGGATTGCTGTTTTTTAAGAAGTGCTATCTTTCAAGTTAGACATTAACTGAAGTCCTGGATAGCCAGTGGGTCTTGGTCATGTTATGCCTAGCCAAATTCAATTTACTTTTTTACCTCCTCTTTTACTCCACTTTCAGTTTGGAAATGCATGATTAGTTTCTGTCTGTATCTATTGTATGTATTCTCTTTTTTGGCTTTTTAAAAATGAAATTAATTTTGTAGTCTAATCCATATTTGTGTTTGAGAAAAGTGTTATGCCTCTATAAGAACACTGATCCTTTTGTAGTGCAAATTGATGCTGTTGAACAAATCAATTTGTTTTGGGTGACTTTGTGCCTAATTCTTTCCTGCTATGCTTTGAAAACTAATATCTTTGCAATCAGATGCTGTGTACATGTTGAATAAGAGCGGTAGCTAAGTTTGGTCCCAGTATAAAGTTCACTGAAGTCAGTGGGAGGCTTTTCTTGGTTTCAGAGAGCCTTGGATCTTGGCTGTGATCTCTATAGAAGCAATGTCACCTCAAGTATCAAAGTTAATTCTTGCATTGTATGCAGTGTAGCCTGGAGTTCCCACAGTTTTTCTGCATTTTAATTTTAATAAGATTAAAATGGTTAGTATGCTTCCTGATGCATCTGCAATTTAAGTTTTTACAGTATTATCTCTTTAAATTATACAATCTTCAGCTCTTGATTGAAGAAAATAAAAACTATTATAAGCATCTTGGGGTCATTATTTTGGGGAAGATTAAACTTCCCCCCCTCCCTTAATTTTTTTAACAAATGCTTGTTATGTCTGGAATATATAGAAAAAGTGGTAGCCCTGCCTTCATTATACTATTTTTAATCACTGCATTTGTATGAGGGAAGCACTTGGGCAACTTAATAGTGAGACTGTTGTAGGGCTCAGTGTCTGGTTTTATTTTCAGGGTATTCTCATTTCTGTTTAATTTTGGGCTAGTAAGTTAACTTGATCATTAGCACTTTGAAGCTCTTCATCCGCTATTGAGTTTTTAGCATTAGTTCACATTTATGTGCAATGAGAGTCTGTAGTCTGGAGGTGGATTGTGTTTACATTTCATAGAGTTTTCAAAGGTCCACCTTAGAAAATAGATGTGTGTAGAAATCAGATTGTGCATAGCTTTTTGTGTAGCACTTTTGTAACTTTTTTTTGTGTTGCTTTACACAATCTAAAATTGTATTGCTTCCAGATTTAGTTATTATATATGTAAATTGCCCTTCTTATATTTTAACAGACTTGGTAATGAAACATAGAATCATAGAATGGTTTGGGCTGGAAAGGACCTTAGAGGAAACATGTTTGGTTTTTTTTCCTTTAACAGATTTTCCATGGTACGAGACGATAAAAACGGCATTGCAGAGCAAGTTTAAACTCCAGAAGTTTAGGTCCTTGCAACTTGAAACAGTAAATGCAGCAATGGCGGGAAAGGATATATTTCTTGTCATGCCTACAGGTGGTGGGAAGAGCCTTTGCTATCAGTTACCAGCTGTCTGTTCTGATGGTATGTAAGAGAAGAAGAGGTCATATATAAACAGCTGGATATATTTTCTCCCTTTTATAGTTATTTAGAGAATAAACATTATATTAGTGTCTAATATCACAGTATCGGGGGGGAAAAGAGAAAACATATGAGAGAAAGATTTCTCAGAAATATTTGCTTTGCTCTCCTACTTTTTCTCTGAAGATGCAATAGCAGCTTTAAAATAGATGTGCCTTTTGGGTGTTATAGAATAATAGGATGGTTTGAGTTGGAAGGGACCTTAGAGATCATCTAGTTCCAATGCCCCTGCCATGGGGTAGGGACACCTCCCACTAGACCAGGTTGCTCATGTGATTTAGATTTAAATAGTTGATCTAGGTTTCTTTCGGTATGTTATATTATTAAACACTGAAAGAACTTTTTAAAAGTTTGTCGCTATTTTTTTCTTTCTTTCCCTTTTAATTCAGTAAACAGACTAAATTATTGAAGTGTGGATATCTGTCTGTTCCACTGAGTTTTAGCTTCAGATTATTTGGGAGATACTTTGCATGTTACTTTTTAAAAATAAGTATCCAATTTTAGTTTTCAAGCTTTTTTTTGAAAAAATAACCCATCCAGTGCATGGATGTTTACATATTAACAAAGAGCAAATTTACCAATACCTACCATTGCTTAGTTGTGTGGTAAATTAGCACCTCATGACACGTGAATCTAACTTTCTTTGTTTTGTATATTAGTTCTTATACTCTATTTGTTGCAGCTCAGTTGTTTGTGGTCTAGATTCTAAGAGAAGGTGCATGTCACAGGCAGTTGATAAGTATCCTTAGGTGACCTAGTGCTCACTTATTAGCTATCTAGGAGAGGAATCTGCTATTGTGTATGAAGCTTAAGCTCATGTTTGGCATTGCCTTCAGAACAGGGCTGATGCATTAGTAAAAAGTATTAGAGGAGACATTTGTGATATCTGAATTGTTCAGTTTGCACAATGATTGATTGTTACAGGTTTCACACTTGTGATATGTCCTTTGATATCACTTATGGAAGATCAGCTCATGGTTTTGGAACAGCTTGGTATTTCTGCAGCTTTATTAAATGCTTCAAGCAGTAAGGTATGTTTAACTGCCACGTCTTCGTGGTTTTTGTGATGTATGTGTCAGCATCTTGCTTCTGTTTGTATTATTTGTGGATACTGAATGAATGGCAGTTTCATCAGCTTATGCCATTCTCTCAAGAGTATTTTGCCAGCTACGTGCTGTGATATGGATAACGTGAATGAGTATCTTGTGTTCTTGTTTTAATGACAAGCACACACATAAGCCAACACCTTTCATGGAACAAATAGATTTCATGGGACTATTTAGAGGATGCGAAGTACCTTTGGCTGATGTGGGTTGGAGATTTTTACTCAGTTTTTAGACTTAAAAGAAGATTGCAGTAGGTGACTTTTGTCCACTAGTAACATGTTGAGCAGTGCAGGCTTTTACATATATTTATCTTACTTTAGGGTGGTAAGCTGTTCGATCCAGAGGCCAAGAAGCAATATTTCCCAGTCTGTTATTAGTCAGTTGTTTTTTTACAGTGAAATACATTTTTCTGACCACCAGGAGGCCATGGTCATTAACTTGCATGTGACGCTGGATTTGATAGGTTAGGCGCTTGATGCAGTATGCCAAACTTGGAGCCTGCTTTGAGGTAAAGCACTTTGAAAACTCAGTAATAATGATTACAATTGTGTCTAAGAAATTATTTTACACTTGGAGTACCACAGGTGTGTTTGGTACATTATAGTTTATTGGGAAAATACTGATACCACATGATGAAGCTGACACATATTCAATAGTTTGCTTTTTCAAAGTCCTGTGGCAGATTTTCCAAATACTAAAATTAACATTTTTGTGTATAATGATCTTCTGCAAAGACTTATGTATCAGTTTATCAGTCTCTTTTATTTACATCCTATGAATTGTTAGTAACCTCTTAAGAATCTTAGCACTAAGCAACTTCAATGTGTTGTCCTAGCTTGTTAACACCTGATTTCTCCTTTTGTTTTCAACAGGAACACGTGAAGTGGGTTCATACCGAAATGCTAAACAGAAATTCGCAACTGAAGCTCATTTATGTGACCCCAGAGAAGATTGCAAAAAGCAAAATGTTCATGTCAAAGCTAGAGAAAGCTTATCAAGCAGGATGTCTTGCTCGCATTGCTGTAGATGAGGTCCATTGCTGTAGTCAATGGGGCCATGACTTCAGGCCTGGTATGCTCATTAGAAATCCAGTTTGAAGTGTTATTCAGGCATCAATAAATAATGAGTTAGGCTTGAAATAAACCAGGTGCTTTCTTCATGTGCTGAGTAAATAGTGTATGGCAAGTACCTGTGTTAGCCTGAGGACCATATTTAATTCACAAATTACTATATCCTTGTCTAGGAGCTAAATTCATGCAAATAGGAGTGATTTCAGCGTAGATTTTGCTGTCAGTATTATGAAAATCTCTTAAATTGGTTTACTTTAATTGCAGCTTAGTAAAATTAAAGTTTTTGGCTGCTGTCTTTAAAATGGACAATACAATCATCTTTAATCTACAGCTACATGAAAAAGTGGCATTCTGTGCACTGCTCCCTAACACTCTGGGTGAGAGAGGTGGAGCATTTTGTAAGTTCATGAGATATATTTTAAAAGCAAGTTGAAACAAATGCCCTTGACTAGCAGAGAAAGAAAGTGTGCTTCAGTTTGTTTCCTGTCTTATTGTAGAAGACTATTACATACTGGTTAACTGTGTCTTTGCCTTTGAAAGAAAACCTGATTTGAAGCAATAGTAACTGTAAAGTCAACCTTTGCAGTTTTCTTAAAAAGTTGTGTCTGAGCAAAGAGCCATGCTGGTTAAGTGGTGACATGGAATTCAGCTATGTACCTCTGGCTGCATTTCTGTTCTAAGGCAGCAAGTGATTGTCAGCACTAAGTCTTTAAAATCTTTCTTTAGTACAGTCTGGTGTATGTATCCAAATTCTCCGTTGCTTGTTTATTAGCAAAGCTGTGTTTAGTGAAAAGCTGTTTGTAAAAACAGACCTGCAAATAACCTGAACCTTGGTTAATGCAATGCCACTTACATTTTTCTAACTTTTTAAGAATGTCTATTTCAGTATGTTTTGCCTTCCGAAATGTGTCTGCTTTTATAAAATTCAATTAGAAGAGAAGGCACCTATTTTGATAAGTGCAACCTTTTTAAAATGTATAAATTACATTAGATCTGTAGTAAATTGATTAGTAATAAGATTTATTGGAGTATTATCCCATTGAATGTTTTCTACATTAATATCTTCTTTCACTTTGGATCTATGGTATGAGAAATCTTTTTCTTTCTCCTTTTTGTTTTCTTGCTTAGACTACAAGTCTCTTGGTATCTTGAAAAGACAGTTTCCCAACACTCCCTTGATTGGATTGACAGCAACTGCTACAAATCATGTTTTAAAGGATGCTCAGAAGATTTTGCATGTTCAGAAGTGCATTACCTTTACTGCATCTTTCAACCGGCCCAATCTTTACTATGAGGTATGTCTTATTACCTGTTTGTTTGTCATATTGCAGTCATCATCTTCTGCAAGTTACAGTTGATGAATTTTAGAGTAGATTTTCAATTATACATTTTAATATTAATAAATAGCTTTTTCAACAGGATGATGGTGTTCTCTCTTGACATCATCTTGCTGAACTTGCTGTCATCTTCAGGGAAACTTGGGCTGCTCTGTCTTTGTCAGCAAGGCTTAACAGATAGGACTGTGTACAGGGGAGAGGTAGGTAGCAGTTCAGACTGCTACAACCTGTTGGAAAATATGTCATATGATTACAGACAGTTGTGAATTATTGTGTGGTATTGGATTTTCAGTTTGGCCACAGATTCTTTTATTGTTCTTCAAGGGAAAACTTGTGATTTTTTTTTTTGTTGTTGTTGTTGTGTTGGTTTTTTTTTCTGTGGACTTTTGAGATATTCTCTTTGTGTACAGTCAGATTATATACTAATTTTGGTTAAATGGCAGAATAGTTTTGTTTATTATAGTGGAAGAACTAGAATAATAGGATTGTTTGACAGACTATGTACCTGCTTGAAGAACTCTCTGGAATGTGTGTATTGTATTTTTGAGGTTCGGCATAAGCCTTCAAATAATGAAGATTTCATTGAGGACATAGTTAAGATAATTAATGGAAGATACAAAGGACTCTCAGGTAAAGTGTCAAAAAAAAAAAAGCACATTATATTTTTAGAATCTTAAGCATTACAAGGATGTTTTCAAGTGATCCTGAAACATACAGAGAAATTCTACCTTCACCATCCATTAAACATCCAGAATTAAAAGAAATGAAATTTAATTAGATCTATGCCTTGAATAACTACTCTTTTCATTTATTGGTGTTTAAATGTCTTTACAGTTTACTTAGATCTTCTGAAGTATTGCTATATAACATTGATGTATATAAAACACTATTTACATAGATAACAATAGCAATTTTTAATATTGTAAAAACAAGTCTCAAAAAAGGTTATCTATATGTTCTTAAATCATGCATGTGTCATCTAATATCTGTGTGTCAGGATACTTAGTATCTTTAACACTTCCTTTTCATATTTGATAATGAGATTCATTTATTATTCAATGCCCAGCATGGGTTTTTGGTGGGGTGAATTGCGCTTTTGTGATGAAAGCAGAACTATAGATGTTGGACTTTGTGTCGTTAATAAATTAAGTAGTGCAAATAAAGATGAGAACCATATTACAAAGGCACAGAACCCAATTTTCCAGAGCAGCAGTCTGTCCCTGTCTCTGCTGTGGAACTCTGTGGCTGTGATGAGGAGCTCCCCAAGTACAAACTGTGCTAAGATGATTCTAAATGACATGGCTTTGTGTGTAATCCTTGATTTAGCCCAGGCTCACCAAGGACAAAAAGCAGATTTATCTGAAGCCTCAGGTGAGATGTCATACATGTCATAAGGAACAGCACTCCTTTACGTAAACATTGTCCTCCTTCGACATTAACAGAATACTTCCATGATTATGTGGATTGGCACCCATATTTTCTCTTTAGCCTACAAGTCAAAGCTGATAATTTAAGTTCTATTCATGGCTACAAATACTGTAGATTGAATAGGCACAAAGATCATTTACTGGGTTTTATTTATTTATTTTTAAGTTAATAAAACTTTCAAAGTTGTTTTTAAGAGTTGAGGATTGTTTGGTTTTTTAAGATATTACAATAAGTCATCTTTCACTTCTGTGCAGGAATCGTGTACTGTTTTTCTCAGAAGGATTCTGAGCAAGTTACTGTGAGTTTGCAGAAACTGGGAATCAAGGCAGGGACTTACCATGCAAACATGGATGCTAAACATAAGACCAAAGTTCATAAAGGATGGGCAGCTAATCAAATCCAGGTTAAGTAGATACTTTTCGTAAACTTATGTCTCATTTAAATAAATTGTGTTTTGGTACCTTGATGGTTTCTTAATCTTATTTCAGGTTGTAGTGGCGACTGTTGCTTTTGGCATGGGAATTGATAAACCTGATGTAAGGTTTGTAATTCATCATTCTATGAGCAAGTCCATGGAGAACTACTACCAAGAGAGTGGACGTGCAGGTATTGTAGGAAATACATTACAACAAATAAAATTGTACTTCCATTTCAGCTATTTGTGCAAAGTGTCTTGTCTTTTGAGACATATTCCAAAGTCTATAATGGCACTCTGCCTCCTAAAAGAGACTTCAAAGCAAATATGAACTATGTTCATAATCTCAGGCTTTTACTGCAGTCTAGCAAAGAATAACTAAGTACCTAGCCCTTTACTCAGCATTTTTTTAACTTTATTTTTGTGACATCTGTGGCAGAATGATGTCATAACATGATATTGACTGATCCAATGTATGTTACAGAAAGTATTCTTTTTTTTTTCTTTGTGTAGCAACTGGGATGCATGGTTTGCTCACATTGTCTCTGGATGATGTCTTATCTCTGTATGAATTTCAGTGGACACAGAAAAACGAGTAGGATGGGGAGGCTGGAGCAGGGAATTTCAAGGATTGATTAGTGTATAGCAGCACTAAATAGCTGTTACAGATAAAAAAAAATTTTGTGGTGGTTTGGGTTTTTTTGACTTTGTGCATTATTACTTTTTCGAAGACAGATTTGAACTGTGTGGAGAAAAGCTTTTTAAGGATGCTGAGGGGCAATTGGTTGAGTTTTTAACTATGTGTGTATGATAGAAATTGGCTTCAATGCTGGCCTAAGAAATACAACAGTCATCAAAGTTTGTGAGAGTTTGCATCTGCTTGTGCCCAAGACAAGGGCCATAAAGCTGCTGAAATAGTTGTTTCACACTGTTTATCAACTTGAGGTGATTAGAGCAAGGTTTTGTATGTTTATTTTTCATAATATGATTTAAATGAGATTCTTCTGGGGGAGGCAGAATTAAGCACTGCTACTCATTTGCCTGAACATACTACTTAGCTTATGAAACCTTCCTTTTTCCCCTTGACTGCCCATCCAAGTGAAGTAGTTCCTTTCTGTTATTTGTTAAACTTCTTAAAAGTTTAGGTTTTTTAGACCTTTTCTGGGCTCTGGATCTTGCAAACAGCAGGAGGGCACCCGTCAGCACATTATTGGGAGGAATGGGCAACAGGAAAGAAGAGATGATCTAAGTTCAGCTATAGAAGACGCAGTTGGTTTTAAATGGAATATTTTGTTAAATCTTACCCAATTCTCTCTTTACTTAATACCATTAATACCTAATAAGGTATTTGAAGCTCACAATGTATTTTAATCAAATAAGAATTAGTCTTTAAGATAGATGTATTTGTCTAGGATTTTCCAAGAGGTGTTAGGGTGAGAAAATGGTGATTTCACTGACTTTCTGTATGACATTAGTATTTTGTTTTAGTTGTTAAAGAGTAAAAATCTTTATTGTCTAGTATTTTCAGTTTGCTTGATTCTGTAGTTGTAGTAGACTGCTTTAAATCAATTTTATTTCTAATCTGTTTCATACTGTGTTCTATTGGCTAATATGTTATGCTTGATATTCTGTTACATTCATGCACTCTGGATAGGGGCTGCAAAAGTCCATGCAGATAAGGCTGGAAGTTGGACCAGAAAATGCTATACTTAAAGTAACTCCCTTCTAAAGTTTAAAGTCTATTTTTTTTTTTGTTTGTTTTAATGCATTGCAGGTAGAGATGACCAAAAAGCTGACTGCATTTTATATTATGGTTTTGGAGATATATTCAGAATCAGCTCAATGGTAGTGATGGAAAATGTAGGGCAAGAGAAGCTGTATGATATGGTGTCTTACTGCCAGAATATGAACAGGTAAGTTACTGTGGTGGCTTGGTTGCTTGGTTTTTAAATAGTTAGGCTACTTTTGTTGGCCTTTTTAGAGGGTATTATAAAAAAATGCACAGAACAAAAAAACCCCACAAAACCACCACCACCACCAAAACAAAAAACCCGCACCACACTATAGATGCACTACCATTGTAACAGAGTCTTGAGTTTGGAGTTTGTGGTTTGGCTGCTCAGTATCTGTATTCTTGCACATGACTGAATGTTGGTGTGTTGCTTGCCAACTTCAGGATAAAGTTCTGGAAGCAGTTATTTTGAGATAAGATATCTGTCAACAAACAGTGTTTGGATTTCAGATCTCATTCAGAGCAAATACTGGAATGCTTCAGTTTTCACTCGAAGGTGCCAGTGTTTCATGGCCATACAGGAATCTCCACGTGTTTAATGCTTTATCTGCTGCACTGAGCTGTATTGAGTACCTTATATTAAACACTTGCATCTATGTTGTGGACAACTCATGCATTCAGTATGGCCTTTGTTGGCCTCAGTCTGAGAGTTATTTCATGTTCTTATGATTTTTCATTCTACTGGAATTGCAGATTATACTTACTTTTCTACTTTAACCGAACTGTTCCTGCAGCAGCGTTTAGTATTGCTGAAAATTACTAGTTACTCCTAGTAGTATAACTGACAGGGAATACTGTGTTGCAGTGTTTGTTTTCTGATTTTTCTTGAGATAATTCTTCAGGCTTGTTTTGAGATATGAGCTGACCTAGGGGAACTTCTTTTTGCCACTTTCATGATTTATGACATGGGTGTGTACATTTATGTTCTATAGTCCCTCTTTACTCTCTGTTCTTTCAGGTGTCGCCGGGTCCTCATAGCCCATCATTTTGATGAAGTATGGGATTCTGCAAACTGCAACAGAATGTGTGATAACTGCTGCAGAGAGAACTGTAAGTAAATTGTTTTTATAACCAGGGACAAAGGACATGTAGAAGGTTAGCTTAAATAAATACCTAGTTTAGACAAACTGTGAGCAGCTTCTGGAAAGTGTGCTTGTAATACTGCCTGTTTCCAAGGTTCATCTTTTGTTATAAAGATCAGTCTTTGGTGGCTTAGTGTTGCCAAATTCAGGGTGTTTAGCAGGATACTTCCTGGTTTGGCTTTTTGCCTGAGGCCAAACACTTTGGTATCTTTCAGGCTCAGCTGTTCACCTGTTCCCAAAAGTGAAGCTGGGGCAAGGGAGAGATTGGCTTACCTGTTTTTAAAAAATTCTGGTATGTGTTGGGTTTTGTTTCAGGATTTTTTGGGGGGTGTGAAAGCTTTGTTTTGAGAAGGAGCCTCTTGTTCTCTGCATGCCCAAACTGTTCACACTTAGGCTTTGAGAGAGCACTGTTTGCACATGTCCTTTTACAGCTCTCCTGGTAAAATCTCTGAGGATTTCAGTACTGCATGCGCATGAGACCTACTTGTGTCAGGACTGTGCGTGACAGTTGTGCAGAACAATTGAGCACACTAATTCAGGATTTTGCCATGTGTTAGCTCTAACAGCACAATGTCTGTCTCGTGTGTGCTCTTACTGTGGAAGAAAGTTGAGATCGTAAGAGGGAAGGCATATGAGGCAGATGTAGAGGGATCTTGGGAGATGAGCTGAAACAAGACCTGCTGCATGGTAAAGGGTGATGGTTTCAGCAGCATGTCATTCTGGGACATAAGTTCTTTTGCTGCTTTTCCTCCAAACATCCTGGGCAGTGTTGGGTAGCTAGCTTAAACTACACTTTCATGGGTGATCATTGGCTGCTTTAACTGTCATTTTTGGTACCCGTCCAGAAAGCTGTAAGTCTCTGAAGATGCACAAAGTATCTGTTGCTGAACGTACTGAGTGGGAGCTGTGGTTTAGACATAGGAAATCCCATACAAAGCTAGAAAGCTCTGACAAGAGTGCTGAGAAAAAGCTGATCTTTGGCATCTCTCTTGGACACAAAAAAACCACCTTAAATTTCTTTGAGTAAGAGATGAGGTGGATTCTTGTAATATGTGGAAAATACCATCTCCTCATACCTCATATCTGTTGCAAAGCATTTGGATAATGTAGCAATCAGCACTTGAAAAACTTAGGAACCACTCTGTATTCAAAGCTGTTCTCAAAACTAGGCTTTATTTCCCTGTATATCACTTGGGGGGTAGACAAAACAAAGATATTTAACCTCTTTTTTTTTTTTTTTTTCTTTATACAGTTATTTATATAATAAAACTGTTTTTGCAAAATCATGCAAGTAACAGTGTCTTGTTATCTTCTAGCTGTAAATGGGGCTTAGTTGAAATTTATACTGGGATCAGAGGCTGAGACAAGTATGGACCTTGCTTGTACCCAAGACCAGCAGGGGGCCATATGATGAATTATAGTTGAAATATATCCTGTTTACTGCTGGCTTACCCCCCAGGGCATTTTGATATATAAGCAAGGTAGAGGAAACCTAGCAGTAGTACCAGTTTCTCAGAACTTAATTCTTAGTGTTGGAGGAGATAGTTGGGGTAATTCTATGCCATAATCTGATCATGTAGTAAAAGTATGAGCATTATGTACTACATGGATGTGTTAGTTCTAGGAATAATTAGTCATGATGAAGCTAATTTGTATAATGAAATTAGTACTTTTTTTCTGCCTCATTTTGTCCCTGTCTTGAGAGAAGAAATGTCTTTCTTATGTTCTTTAATTCCTTTTGCTCTCTATTCTTTCCATAATAAATATTATGGGTGAGGAAAAGGAATCCAGCTGCAGAGTAACATAATAGCTACCTTACAAATTTTATGCTTTGTAAATGCTTCTTTGAAATAATTAGTGTGATTTGTAATGTTAAATACATGTACAAAAATGTTTTCAGGATTGGAGTTCTAACAATGAAGTAGAAATGTAAATGTGAGTTTGAGTACAAAGATATCCTAATTTGACAGAGGGAAAGTTATTTGTTAAAAGTTACAGCTTTATTTTTTATACATTTATATCTTTATAGGTATACATATAAAAGTGCATATATATATATATATATACACACACACCTAATGTATATATGGATACTATCTAAATAACTATAAAAAACTTGCTATTTAAATATTTCTTCACTTTTCTTCATAGCATGTGAGAAAATGGATATAACAGGATACTGCAGGGATCTAATCAAGATACTTGAGCAAGCTGAAAACATGAGTGAGAAACTCACCCCACTGAAATTAATCGATGCGTGGTCTGGGAAAGGTGTATCAAAATTGAGGGTGGCTGAAGTTACTCCACCAAAGCACCCTCGAGAGGAACTGGAGAGAATTATTGCCCATTTACTACTGCAGCAGTATCTGAAGTATGTAAGATGACTGCTTCTTTTGATTTTACATCTAGTAGTCATTTTTCTTTACTCTTGTGTTAATTCTGTGGAATATTAATGAATACATTCTGTAATGTCATTCTTAGCCTATATTTCATTTTTAAAATACATGAATTTCATGTATTTTAAAAAATGTCAAAAGATTACTTTATTTCTACTTCAAAATGTTAAAACAAAGGTTAGAGGAACATTTGAAATGCTACATCTCTTGCACTTCTAAAAAGCTGAGGTTTTCTGTATTCAGATTGAACCTTTAAATCTGCAGCAGGCTTCATTTTGGAAAAGTCTGCTGTTTATATGGAGTCTCATTTACATTCCATGGCTAAGAAAAGCAAATAGGGTTGCCCAGATGAAGTCTAAGTCAGGACAGGCTGGCTAATGTTGAAAGTGGTACTCAGAAATTTTAAAAAAGCATAGTGAGAACAACAACAGTGCTTCTCTTGTGACCTGGATGTCTGTGTGGTATGTGGTTTGTCTTTTCATATCGTTTTAGAAGTTCCAAGAATATGCACAATCAAATATTTAATCCCTGTATTTTTGTCTTCAATTTTTTTTGGCATGTTTGTACAGATGACTTTTTGCACTTTTAAGAGGGTGAGCAGATGACTTATTACATCTTTTTTTCCTCATTTTTCTCCATGTATTCCAACAGTTTGACATGTGTATGTGTATAAAATAGTTTCACAAACTGAACTATGTTAAGCGTTGGCCAGACTCACTCTAAGTTGACTATCCACTTGAATAGATAAAGCAGAATCAAGGTGCTATTTGGAACATCTATCAGAATGGTTAATGTGTCCCATTTTCCCCCTGCACAGTTTGGCCTGTCTTTGTTTCCAGCCTTCTGTTTTAACACTGATTTAATTTATGCAGGGAAGACTTCAGCTTCACGGCATTTGCTACAATATCCTACCTGAAGATAGGACCAAAAGCAAGCCTGCTGAAAAATGAGGCACATGTTATCACTATACAAGGGATAACAAACAAGAAAAGTGTTTACAAGGTACCCATTTGCTATATAGATATCTTTTCCATTATAATTTATTTTAATAGTTTGATATCTGTTCAATAGTTTGATATTTTTCATAGTAACGCAACCAATGGGATTTAAAATAGATCTCATTATCTTCTCTCTTTTGTGGGAACACTGAAAAAGATGGAAAACAATGTTAGAATTTTAATAGAGTTGTTTTATAACTTACAGGACAAACCATCTCAATCTTCAAATTTGAAAGGAAGCAGAGAAAATGCTCAGACTGTTTCAAAGACTGTCCAAGATTCAGTGGTGAAGAATTCACAGGAACGTAAACGGCCTAACTGTGGTTCTAACTTAAAAGCAAAGAAGCTTAAGCTTCAGGCAGGTGGAGATGACCAACCAGTAGTTCTTGACTGAGTTTCACATACCACAAAGTACATCTAATCATGGTTGCTTCTCTGTGGACAATGCAGTGTGTAAGTTCAGGTTGTGTTTTAGTAATGGTAATTTTGTGCAATTTTTTTAATTAAAAAAAAAAAAAACAGCAAACCAAGTATCTTTGTAACCCTCAAATCCAGAAAAAGCCTAATAGTCAAGGGAAAAATGCTTCATATCAAAATAACTGGTGCATATCTTATGATACAGCAATGACTACAAAATGTAAATAATTACTGTGCTGCCTTTTTAACTCTTTTGGAAGTGTAGTGTATAGTAACACTATTGCAGAATCATGCAGGCTGGAAGGGACTTCCAGAGATCATCTAGTCCAACCTGCTGCTTGGAGCAGGTTCAGTTGGAACAGAGTACTCAGGGCTGTGTCCAGTTATAATTTTGACTGTCCCCAAGGATGGAGATTCCACAGCTCCTCTCAGCACCTGTTCCAGTATTTGACCACCTTCATGACCAAAAAAAGAAAAAAGGATATTTCTTAGAGCTAATTGTTATCTCTGGTGTTCCACTTGTCTGTTGTCTCTTGTCCTATCACTCTGTTCTGAGAAGAATCTGGCTCCATTGCTGCTATGCTTTTCCATTAGGTAGTTGAAGACAACAGCAAGATCACAACAATCACTCTGCCTGCCCCCTGGTTTTCTTCTTTTTTAATTTGGAAAAAATCCATTTCTCTGTTTCTCCTCTGTAAGCCCCTGCTTCTGTCTGAGCACCTAGGAAGCTTCATAGCCCTCTGCTAGACTCAATCCAGTGTGTCAGTGTGTTTCTTTTACTGGGAAGTGCAAAATTTAACCCAGCGGTCACTAGCTGTAATCTCGCAAGTGCTGAAAGAGTAATTTCACCCAAACTGCTGATTATGTTCTTGTTAATATGCCTGCCATGCAGTTGTCATCTGTGCTGCAAAGACACGCTGCTTATTCATGTTCAGCTTGTTATCTCTGGGATCCTGGGTCCTTTGCTGCAAAGCTACTTTCTAACCAGTCAGGCCCCAGCCTGTGCTGTTGCAGGGTGTTGCTCCATCCCAGGTGCAGGACTTTGCTTTTGCCTTTAATTTAGAGGTCCCTGTCAGCCCATGTGTCCAGCCTATCTAAGTCCCTCTGAATAGCAGCCCTGCTCTCCAGTGTATCAACAGCTCTCCCAACCTTGGTATCACCTTCAGACTGGCTGGAGCACACTCCATCCCTGTATCCAGATTGTTAGTGAAAACCCTAAATTATGTTGGACCCAGGAATGATCAGTGAGCATTGCTACTAGTAAATAGCCACCAGTTGGACTTTGTTACCACAGATCCCAATTCTTTGAACCAGGTGATCCAGAAAACTTTCTACCTACCTTGTTGTACACTGATACCTCACCAATATTTTTTGCTGTAAGGAAATGATGGGAGATAATGTCAAAAGCCTTGCTAAAGTCAAGGTATACAACATCCATTGCTACCCCCTTATTCACACAAGCAGTTATCTCTGTGTGGTTGATCAGGTATGCTGTGCTTCTGGTAGATCTAGCTGGCTGTTACAAATCACCCCCATGTGTCTGAAAACGTCTTGTGGGAGTATTTGCTCCTTTTCTGGGGGCTGAGGTTTGAACTAGCTGAGGAGCTCTCTGTTCACCTGTGCTGGCCTTCTGCCAGGCTTGTTCTGCGTTCTGCAGGTAGGAATAGACGATTTGTATTTTGAGGAGGTTGTGTTTTGGAAATCAAGCAGTTCTCCTGAGCCCCTTTGCCTTCCAGGGCAGTTCCCTGTGATCTGGACAAGCAGATCCCTGAACAAGCTGAAATCTGCTCTCCTGAGATCCAGGGTAGTGGTTCTACTATGTCTTCCTCAGTTCTCAGTCAAGTTTAAAATTCTGAATCACACAGTCACGGAGCAGCATCTGGGATATGGGCACCTAGTAAGAAACAAACCTGTCAATGTCTCCAAGTCAATGAGGGCCTCTGTCCCCCACAGGTGGGGTTCTTTGGTAACTTGCATCTTCCTTTTCTTTGTTGTGTGAACACTTGGCTCAGGTTCAGCTGGCATCAATGCATTCCCTGGTGGAGTCATCATCCTCATCTTTCTCAGGGCACTGTACCCACTCTGCAATGGCAGAGCTACAGGTGGAAAAGGAACCCTTTTGTGTTGCCAGAAGCAAGAGGTTTCCAGCTTTCCCTCCTGTGAGTCTCCATCCACTGCTGCTGTGAAGGCAGTCTCAAGGTTTTCCCTCCTTTGCAGCACAGGGCTTGGGTGGTCCTGAGCTCTGCAGTATCTCTGTGAAGACCCTACCATCTCCTGTTCCTCCTCCTGGCTGTTGTGCAGGCTGCTCACCTTCTGCAGCTCCTTCACCCAGCAGCTCAGCACTGCAACCACAGCACAGCTCCCACAGCTGAGGCTGCCGTTGCCAGCTCTGGGGAGAGACATCAGACATCCACAGACCTGGGCTGCTGCAGCACCTTCCTCTGGAGCTGGGTGTGCGTCAAAGCCTCTGCTGTGCCAGAGGCAGTTGTTCGAGCACACATGGTCGTCACCATTTAATGCAGTTTTGAGCAGAGATGCGGCTCTTTCCTGCAATATTTACACCTACTACGACATATTTGAGTACTTGAGAGTACTTTAGGGAACCGTTTCAACAGGGTGTTGCTATAGCATTGCACTACTTATGACTTGCAGAGATATTTGTGAATATTGTATGTATTTATCCTTTTAAAATGTCTGTTCTCTTAGAACTTGATTTCTCTAGCTTGTCATTCAAACAGAAAATTATTACTTCTGTGCTTTTCGGAAGTACTTAAATTATATTTAAGAACAAGACAACTTTTCTTGATCTCAGCTGTTCCCTTTGTAAAAGTTATACTTTATATGGGAAATACAGAAAAAAGCCACTCAAGAAATACTTCTCTCCCCTCTTTTTCCCCTCTTTCCTCTGTTGAATTGGCTTATATTCCAGGTACAGCCCTGTATTCGAATTGGAGGTGAATCTGGTTGTCCTAAGAAAATACCGTTCTGCTCTATAAGCACTAGAACATAACTGCACTGAAAGTTGCGTACTTTAAGCCCTAATTGTGGGCTGCATCAAACTTAATCTTTGTGAGGTTTCTGAATTCTAGTCTCTTAACTTCGCTACTACAGCTATCCATTCTATGTTCTTGTTTGTGGAAATGGAAAAGAGAAAGCAACTATAGGGGAGTACTGCTGCTTGCCTGTGGCTTAAAGTGGTGTGTCTCCACCATTTTGAAGAGCAACCTATCCCTTTTGACTCACCTGTAAGTCCTTTCACATACCATCTTGGTTCTGTCAAGGTAAGAGAGAGCCAGTGCTTACTGCTGCAAATTTTCTTGCATTTTACCTCATCCCACAAAACTGAGTGGCTGACTGCAATTAGATACCTGTCTGGGTAACACAGAATTTGTTTCTCCATAATACACAGGTTCAATGCAAGCTTAATCAAAACTGTGATAATCAAGAGTAGAAAAATAATAAAAATCATTCAGGATTATAAAGTAATAGTAGTAGAGGTTGTCTTTAAGATGTTTCACAAGAACTGGAAATCTGAAAATTCAGAAATGATGGTAGAATTTTAATTTTGAGGTTTGGAATTAGATTGAAACAGATACTTTTTTTTTCTTTTTTTTTTTTTTTTTTGCTAGAAAGGCAGGAAAAAAAATATTCCAAATTGAACAATGTCATGGCCTGAGATTGAACCTGGGAAAGCCTTAGTGTACTAGGTGCAGAGGGACAGAAGACAAAAAGGATCATTGAGCTATTACCTTGGTAAGTTTGGAAAAACATGAGCTCCTACTGAAGCACTCATATTTGGTAACCAATAAGGCCTCTTACTGCTACTGAGAACTTGAAGCACTGGTGCTTTCAGTTCCACTTGCATTTGTCAGGGCTGGGAGCAGGAATAGCCAAGTTGAGGAAAAAGGCCTGAAGAGCAGCTCTGCCCACCCTTTTGGTTCCTGAGTGGCAACAATTGCTGGTCTTTTGTCTTGTTTATGCTTAACATTTAAGCAGCACTTAATCTCAGAAATGCAATGATGTCATGGTTATGCTATTTATTAAAAAGAATCTTTGAAGCACATGAAGATTGCAATTTAGAGTGAGTGGTCTTTTCCTTGCCCCTCAGGGTTCTGGAGTTCCCCTCTTAACTTCTGAACTAGAAGATGATGTATATTGAGCCCCTAATTCCAGAACTGTTAAATGCTGAGTAAATTCATTAACCAGGATTTTAGCCTTATGATCTCCTTTGAAACTGATCTTAGCCTAGAACCATGTGACTTCTCTTCTCTCACATGTATGTCAAGAAGTTACTAGAACACTATTAATTTTTACATTTGTCTAATTATATAAAAGGAAAAGCTTCATAATAATGGAGGGCTCACTGTCATACAGTAAGTAGACGTGAAGAAAGTGATACTCTTTTCCAAACAAGGAGCAAACCATGTGGCACTGTTCCACATTCAAATAACAGTCACAGAACAGCCCAGGTAGGAAGAGGCCTTGAAAGATCATCTGGTCCAACCTTTGGTGGGAAAGGGAGCCTAGATGAGAGTATCAGCACCCTCTCTAGCTGGGTCTTGAAAATCTCCTGTGATGGGGACTCCACCACTGCCCTGCAGAGGTTGTACCAGTGACTGATTGTTCTCACTGTAAAAAATTTCATTTTTTAATGTTGAAATAAACCTAACAGAGTGCCTGAAGAGTCCAGAAAAACTGGACACAGGCAAATGTCAGGGTATGTTAAAAGCTTCAGTTCTTTTGCAATGGAGAGCATAGATACAAGCTTTCTTTCTATTCTTACTTTCCCCAATCAAGAACTTAGTTCTGGTTATATAATCACTATCATTTTAAATTAGTTATTTAAAGTGCATCAACATTGTTTCATGTGCTCAGTCCTACCTTCTGCATTGTATAATTAAGTGACACACAGTCTTTTTCTTTCCAAGCCTAACCCAACCTGTAATGTAAGACACCATGTTCAGTTAGCTGTACCAGCCGCCTAGCTGAACTGCGGCCATTCTACAGCAGGGGGCACAATGTCTGTATGGACTTAAGAAAATACGCAGCAACAGAATTTTTCTGCCTCCCATGTCAGCAGTGAGACTAACTGTATGTAAGTAGAAAGATACGCGTTTCCTTCCTTAATGAACAGCAGTGTTTCCAAAAACAGGTAACTGTGCTGCCATAGCAGAAAAGACCCAACAGTACTACTGACTTCTAGCATTCTAGCATTGCTTAAGCACAGTTGGGGTTGAATGCTAGATTCCAAGTTTTGGAGACCTTAGCAGCATCAGTAAGGTGAAGTCAAACTCAATTATAAATTTAAGTTCTGGTAGATTTCATTCAGTTGTATACCACCTTAAATATAAACCAAACATGATTAAGAACACACTCTTCATCTTTATTTTTATCTTGTCCATCATTTAACCGAAACCTTTGCCAAAAGTGGAATGAATTCATTTACTTAAACAGTCATTCTCTTAAAAAATGATTAGAGTAATTTTCTGGGAGAAGTTCCAATATGTACATCCAACTTTCATTTAGTAGAGTACAACAGGCTCTTCCTAGTTCGACCCTAAATAAACAGCAACGCCCAAGTAGCAATTGTAGAACAAACCCACAAGCTGGTATGAAGCAACCCATGTCCATGGATGATGGCATTATGGAATACGGAGAGGACATTAAGGAATAGCTTACAGTGTTGGGCTTTATCACTTACTTTGGCACTCAATTATTTCTAGCAACTAAAAAAAAAGAACTTGATTGAAGCAACCCTGTATGTGCACATCACTGTTTGTAAAAGTGGATCTTACATAACTAAACATACAGCCAGGGAGCTAGTTGATTTAAAACAAACAGCTTACACCCCAATTTGCAACTAAAGCTATTTTTTCATTGGTTACCACAAATCAAATTTGACTTTAATACCTGCAAAAATTGCTTCCTAGAACCAGGATGCATGACAGTGGCAATGAGGAGAGGGTAGGAAGTGGCCAAGACACGTAACTCATGAATGTTTTCATGAAGTGACTGTAATAGCTATTAAGAATCCCATCAGGATGTGGGGACTCGCATGCAAAATGGCATCCCATACCATCTACCACATAAGCTGGATACAGCAACCTGCTCCACAGGCTCTTGCCAGGGAAGGTCACTGCAGGTGACATCCACCAGTGCAGCTGCGTTACCCTTTCCTTGAAGTGCACTGCACACTGATCCTGTTGGAGATCAGATGGATGCACCAGGGCAGCACTACCACAGCACCTGAAGAGCTGAAGTGACAAGCAGTAAAAAAGTTGCTCTCAAATGACATCTCAAAGATGCTTCATCCTGGCTTTCATTGTTCAAAGTTTTTGTGTTCTGTACTTAGCCAATTAGAAAAAACATTTATTTCACAAATAAACTTATGAAAAAAAGAGGGGAAAAAAAAAGATAAAGCATCCTTCTTGCTATATATTTGCAGACTGTGTTCCAGGTAGTGAGAGCTCTGAGCACCCTAGGCCCTCAAGGTGTCCTCTGTTAACCTCAGCCAGCTTGACAGAGACGGTACCATTAGCTGGAACAGCAGACCTGAAACCTGCAGCAACTACTCACAAGTCTGAGCAGCAGAGAGATGCTAGTGGGATGGTAACAAACTGTGTGCCTGCCTTGTGAATGTTCACCTGGGCAAGTGGTTTTAGGAAGCAGGGGTCTCCCACCCTAGCCAACACTTACACCACCCAAGTCCAGAGGCAGCTTTAGGCAGGAAAGGCAGCACCATCCAATCAAGGGTGGCTTACTGGCTGAGATGAGGAACATGCATGGCAGGAAGCCATGGGGAAATACGGCAGGTGAATTATGAGTGGTTTGGGAGAAAAGCGAGCTATGGGGCAGGCACAGGATTTGACAGGTTTTACTTACTTTTAAGAAGTGAAGGCTACCTCACATTCAAGTGAATGCAATGCTATCTTAACAGCACAGTGAAGCTCACTTTTTAAGACTGTCATAGCCCTGTTTCATATGCTCATCTAATTAGATGAAAAAACCCTTTGGCAACACTAATCCACCTGCCTTTGTTGCTGCATTTCTACATAGATTCATCTAATTTGCAGGTCAGTATTTTGACAAGATCAACACAATCTTAATAGGGAATTGCATTTGTCCCTGATTTCTTGTAATGCTGAGAAAAGTCTTGTAAGACATATTACTCAATATCAAAACTTTATACAAAATGGATTTGTTCAATCAAAATAATCTTCTATATCAATATCTGGATTCAGGAGATCTTCACCATAGGCTGAAAGATCCATTTGGTTTAAAATTAAGTTTTCAAAGGTTTCCTCCAAGTCCGTTTCACCAATCAGCACAGCTCCCATCATTCGGCCATTCTGCATCACTACTTTAACATACTCTTGTCCCTTGGTACATCTCAGCATCAGTTCATGGTCTAAACCCAGGCCTTGAGCATTGTATTTTCCCAAAACCACCACCTAACATAAGGAAAAAGAAAAAGCACTTGTAAGATTGCAGTGGCTTTTAGTATTTCTACTGATAACAGTTCTAAGCTTCAAAAGACTCATGTAAACAGGGAAATATTTGTCCCTTGAGAACCTCTCCCCTTCATTGGCTTTCACACCCACAACAGAATTAAAAATCTTTGCTTTGAAATATGATACACAAAAATCAATAATGAACCAATTACCATGTAATGAATTTATCCACGAACAGAACCATAATGAAATGGAATACATCTAGAGATGCAAAGCAGATCAGTGGTCATTCAACAATTAAAATTTATAGTACATCTGTAAAGATCTTTTCCCTCTTCAGTTTCAGCAAAGTTCATATAAATGGAGAAAATCTAAACTAAGATTAATTATTACACAGAGAATACTGTTAATATTAAAGCATCCGCTCAGTGCTAGCAAGTGAATAAGCAAGCAATATGTGTGTTACTCAGTGGTTTAAGAGTATTAGACTGTATTTACTTTACCTTGTAATTGAAAAATTTTGTCACATGAGCAAATAGTTCAAAGCTGAAATCCAGATCAATAGATTCCCCTAAAATATCTGCTGCCATGCATTTTGCTGCGTACCATCCCATCTGCCTAGCTTGAGTCCACAATCTCATCTAAGAAAAAGATTTAAAAAATTTTAAAAACACAGATACATGTCGCTGCAATGACCAACATGCACTGTCTCATCAATGCGCACTATGTATTTCAGAAGGGGTGAACAGCTTGGCTTTCAGACGGAGATAAAATTATCTGCCATCAACACACCCAGGACTATCTACTTGTTCACTGGTTTCCGCTTCAATTAAACTTTCTTTTCCCCCATCTGTGTAATAGCATGCCATTTACTTTGTAGATTAGACTGCTGCTGAGCACACAATCGTATGATTTGATTTACCTGATGCCACACTGGACTAGGTTCCCACGATGCCGTGCAGATATCCCCAGCTGCATATATATCTGGCAGGGACGTGTGCATGTGTTTATCTACTTTAAGACCTCCATCTTCACCTACAGCAAACTGAAGTATTTGCACAGATTAGTACTGAAGAAAAATAATCATTTAAACTAAGTAATTCAACTTCATCCATGTTAAGCAGTCATCTCATTTGTTACTTTTTAATGGTAGACACCTAAGAAAATGTCAGCAAATTCACTATTCTGCTTAATCACAACATCTGAAGATTTAAAATTATATGAATAAATACTAAGGGAACCCACGAAGATGCTCTTCTCGATCACATGTAGCAACAGAGAAAAAGGCCTTGCAGTGTAAAGAATTTATGGCTATTCATTCTAATCTGACTCAATTAGAAAAGACTGATAATCACAAGAGAAACACATTGTTCAAACCTCACAATGTCAAGACTCTTGTCTTCAAGGGGAGAAAACAGATCATCCGAAGAGTGGCATAATTAAATATTTTTCACAGCTGTCTATATATAGACAATAAAGTTTTACTTCTCTATATGATAATGCAACCCTGCCCCCCCCCCGAATTTATCCTAAATTCCTGAATCTTACTGAACCTAGAACCTTTCAAATAAGCAAAGACAAAATTAGCCTACAAAAGCAGAATTTCCTAGAAATCTGTGCATTCTTCTCTCGCCAAGTTTAAGAATAGATCAGTGTTGCATTTTACAACTGACCTTCATGTATCCTTTAAAGTATCTCAAACTCTATGTATTAAAAAAAAGCTTAGACCAGCACTACATACTGAAAAAAAATATTTACCTTGAGACTATCCATAGTGGCAAGACCTCCATGGTAAGATACAAAGCATTAAGCATTATTTCTAGAACACAGCATAGGTTTTTAAAATATAATTACTGATATCTATGCAGGGAAGTAACAGCACTTGCCAAATTTCAGATCACACTACATATGTTACAGGGACACCTAGTCTTAAGAGCTCATTTTGTATTTTTCCAAGGTGAGAAGATACCACTGCAAATACCTAACTCCTGATCTAACTTTATAATGTAGGCCTTGAAATATTTCACAGCTCAACATTAGATGTACATTTTCATAATTTTCTTCTGCTTTATTCAGAGGATAGCATTCTACTCCCTAATCAGAAAGAACTGCAAAAAAACCCCAAATACCCTAACATACTGGTTTTGGCTGGAATGGAGTTAATTTTCTTCATAGTAGCTAGGATGGGGCTATGGTTTGGATTTGTGCTGAATACAGTGTTGGTAACACAGGGTTGTTTTAGTTACTGCTGAGCAGTGCTCACACAGAGTCAGGGCCTTTTCTGCTCCTCACAGCACCCCACCAGCGAGTAGGCTGGGGGTGCACAGGAAGCTGGGAGGGGACACAGCTGGGACAGCTGACCCCAGCTGACCAAAGGGATATTCCATACCATACGATGTCATGCTCAGCATTATAAAGCTGGGGAAGAAGAAGAAAGGGGGGACATTCAGAGTGATGGTGTTTGTCTTCCCAGGTAACCATTACACACGAAGGAGCCCTGCTTTCCTGGGGATGGATGAACACCTGCCTGCTGACAGGAAGCAGTGAATTTATTCCTTGTTTTGCTTTGTTTGTGTTAGCGGGTTTTGCTTTGCCTAAATTGTCTTTATCCCAAACCATGAGTCTTCTCACTTTTAACTCCTCCAACTCTCTTCCCCCAACCCACTGGGGGGAGTGAACAAACAGCTGTGTGGTGCTGAGCTGCTGGCTGGGGTTAAACCAGACACCTAACATGGAGGCAGAATAATCTCAAGGCCTGAAAATTCATGTGGCAGCTATGAACTCCATAATTGTCATCCATGTTTGGATGCTGATTCAAAGTGTGACTTCCCTCAATGAATATGAGCACCTTTATAGCTCAGTTTCCCAGATGAATAATATTGGAAATAACTGCTTCCTTCCCAGGAGATTTCAAGATTTGTAAGGTAAGAATATGGGGCAAAATGAACACAAAAATTATTCCAAGTTTTCTCCACATTAAGGAATTACACAAATGTTTTTCTCTCTTTGTGCAGACTTAATCTTAGCAGCTTATATTGTGTATGTATTGTGTATCAGTACATATCATGAATAGCAATATAGTAAGCCAAGAACAGTAATTAAATTAATTTTTATCATGTTAGGTATTTCCAGTAATGACAATTTTGAAATGCTGTACAACATTCAAAACCTTTATCCATCAATGTTTCCTGTCAGAAGCATAAACCAGCTGAAAGACCTTATTTTACCTCACTTAAAAAAACCAAACCAAAACAAAACACCTTAAACTTCAAAAAAAAAAGCAGTACACTTACATTATTGCCATCAAGAAATGGTTGAACATTTGGTACAACTCCAGTTGCACTGACAATGAAATCACATCCATAAATTTTTCCATTAGTTAATTCCACATATACAGGCCATAGCACTGAAAAAGGGGAAAATTTTGCCCTGAGAATGTAACCAACAGAAGGTATTTTATTAATTATGGTTTATAATAAGACATAATAATAAAAAGAAGAAAAAACACTATTTCGAGATATCTAATTGATTAGAAAGGGAAAAAAAAGAAAAATAAAAAAAAACCCACCAATACCCTATATTATTTCTTACCTTCACCCAGGACTAGAAAAATGAGATACTGGAGCTTAGCTCCAAGTCGTACTAGTAACTTCCTCTGGAATTGTGCTAAATCAAAGTCCTCATTTGTAAGGGGAAAATACTGTGTCTCACTGCTTCAGACCCATGGGATTTTTTTTTTTTGCATATAAATGTACAGATGCAAAGCAAATGCCTCAAAAGCAAAAAGGACATCAGAAATTTGACTTCCTAGAATCTTATGCTGGAAGCAACTGGCTATTAAAATAGTATTTTAAATATTAATTTTCTTCAGTGACATTTCAAGATAGAATTATTCATTAAACAAGTGGAATTTTCTTCCACTTTCTTTCAAGGCTTACTTCAGTTTTGACACTAAATGGGTTTTTTTGTTTCTGTTTTAACTCCACTATTTATTTATTATTTTATTGGACTGTCACAAGGAGGGAATATTCCTCATACAGGATTTAGGTGACTTGGTGGAAAAAGGGTCTGACGCATAACATTTTGCAATTTAATTGTAGCCCATAAATCAAATTCTCAACTACTATAAATTGCTGGAGCTCCGTTTAATATCTAGAAATAAAGGATTTGTTTTCCAAATCTGTGTGTACTCTAAAATAGCAAACAAGATCAAACATGCTCCAACACTGCTTTATCTTCAACATGTTATTTCTAATTAGTGCTCACACCTACCCTCATCTGCTTCTACCTTTTTCTCTTCCTTAGGAAAAGTCATAGAAGTCCGTTGCAGTTGTATAAATTCTTGCTGTGAGTGTATTTTCTTTACTTCACATAGTATTTCAATATGGACTTTATGAGAAAACTAAAGAAAGATTGAGAAAATCAAACACACAATGATTAGTAGTAACAATACTTTTAATGGCAAATATACCTTCACCTAAATTGACATATTACTAAGCTGGGTGGGGATACACACAAGAAAAACCTCCAAAAAACCAAACATATATCTCATCCTAAAGCATGACGCATTAGCCGAGTTCCCACACTTTTTCCTTTTTTTGGCACAGACCTAACCACAGCAATTGGCAATCTACCTGCTTTTACAGCAGATATCTGATGTTCCTTGAAATGCCATGACAATTTAGATTTTTCTGGCATGCCAGAAAACATATTCAAGTTCCCCAGAGTCTACAGGAAGACAATACAGAACTTATCAGAATAGAAAAAGAAGTAAATCAATCTTGTCTATCTTTCAGGATTTCAAATCCTTCATTTTTGTATCATTAATTAAATTCTGATAACAATAATAAGTTTATGTTCTAAATGCTGGAAAAAGAAAAAATATATCATATTCCATCAAATCATATTTCAACCACTTACTCCTATTCTGGGCTCGAGACAGAAGTTGGAAAGTTACCTGTGTCTCTAAACTATTTTGTGGATTCAGGCCTTAAACAGGTTTATTCTCCATTACACAAATATCTATTTCCACAGCCTTCAACAACCAAAATACCACTGATTAATCTGCTGAATACCCTGAACATCCTTTAGATGGTATTGTAAAGCCATTTCTGTGGAAAGACTGATCACCTTTGAAAGGCCTTTTTTTTTTTAATGGATATAACAGATGCAAACACCTAACAGCTAAGAAATTAATAAATAAAAACCTGTTTAAAAACTATGAAATGTGAGGATTTTGACTTTATTTCAAACATTAAACTCTTCACAATGCTCATGTCCACTACTGATTCCTCATTTCATTATCTGCTGTGACAGGAGACTGATGTTCCCTGTACCTCTGTACAAATCCTACTGCCCTATTTTCACATAAGAAAACTTACATGTGGCAGCTAAAATTAGGAGAATTGCTTCTGGTTAAAGCTAAGATTGACACCAGTCCTACAGAAACATGCAAACCAACGTTTGTGTTTCAGTCTGAAGAGCAAATTGCTAAAACCATGCCAGTGGATCTGATTAACCATGTTTTTTATGAAGCAGAGAATTACTTTATTTGTGTTAATGTATTTTCCTGTTTTATTCTGACAGAAAAGGAGAATCAGTTCAAGCATATTTTATTTTTATTTTTCTAATAATCCTGAATGACATTTCATGTTCTGTCATCTTTACCCACTTAAAGCAACATTTAACTGTGTAAGCAAGATTAGGACCATACCTCTTTAGTCCCTTTAAGATGTAAACCCTCATGCCAATCTGGGCCTAAGGCACTGCCCAGGCTGTCAGATGTTGCTATAGGTCTCTCTTTTTCCTCACTCCCTGAAGCAAAGAGATGGAGAATATCACATTTAGCATGCATACTTCATTAACTACAGAATTCAGAACATGGATTCTTACTTAAGAGCAGTATGATCTGGTTGCCAAAAGGGAAGATAAAAATGTGTAATGTCCCAAAACCCATTAATTTGCAGACAAATCAGACTCATAAATATTTTTTACACCTTTCAACTTCATGCCTTTCATTAATTCACTCATCTCTGAAACAACCATGCCACTGTTAGGTGCCTGCGTGGATCCTTAACAGCTAGACCCCCAACAGCACCAGGGTTCTGGAGACCCACTTAGTAGACTTAGCTGCTTAATATCACTGCTAATATTTAAATTGATGTCCATCTGCTAGCAAATATGCAGCCCCCTCCATCGGATGAAAATGCAAATTCCAAAACACTACAATATACTTCAAGAATCTTGGGTGCCATTTTGTGATGTTTAGGCTGACTCTTTTACAATTTATTCTTCCAACCTGAAGTCTAGAATTGTGCTCTTTTTGTATTATTTTGGTCATCTATATGTTTGTGTAATGTTTGTTCATGCAGTTCTAGTTAACTGTTTTTATTAAGACTGCAGTTTCACTGCATGTGTAATAATGTTCTGTGAGTTTTCATCTGGTCCTCCAATAGCTTTTTACAGGAGAGCTCCTTCCTTACATAATGCTGACATAATTCAGAAAAACATTACGATATTACAGAAAATGGAACAGGTTCTTCAGCAGATGGAATATAGGAAATAAAATGTAAACTTGGCACAGATATAAAAATAAGCACATTTTTTACAGTTTTTAGGTAATGGTATTACATGCTATCATGTGTCTACATTAATTCCGGATTGGTTTTTCTATCTTTTATTTTTTTAAAGAAGGAAATGCCATTGATAGTAGCAGTAAACCTTATTTGTAGCCTGTTGAATTAACTGATTTTAGGACTATCTTTAATATTAAATGCTGCTGCTGCAGTGTCAGGAGACTAAAACATCATACCTTCTATGCTATACTTGGTTCTTTTACATTCAATTGGAGTCTCTCGTTTTTCAGCAGTTAGTTTTGGAATGAGAAATTCAGCTGCTCCTGCATCAAAAAAAGTGTTCCCAATGGCTTTGTCTTTGATAGCCCATATTACTTCGCAGCCTTGAATTTCATACCTGTGGACATTTAAACAATAGATAAAATGACAGAATACCCAAAAAGGACCTGACTCTTAGCAACACAACTAGAAGTGTGCGAGGTTTCATTCTGGAAACTAGAAATAAAGAGATCTAAGACTTTTTACCCTATCAAATCCACTACTGCTTCTAAGTATTTACATAAGGAACACATAAATCTCTTCAAGTTGCCAGGTCATACTTCCTCATCAGCACCAACCTCAACTGAACCAGGGTGGAGCTGACCAAATTAACAATAATACTTAGTACTTCCTGCTCCCCACAATGAAAAAAACCATGCATTTTTGCCAGACTTCTCACTGCTAAGAACAGGCATTTGGATCTTGTTTGTACTATCTGGAACATGAACTGGTAGAGATGTACAGAGGACAATTTAGTGAAAAAGTGATTCCCTGCAACACTAAACAAAACCATAGAATTGTGTGATACAGATATGTCTGTAATCCAGCAGACAGCAGGACCAAATGGTTCAGTATCCTACCCGTGACAAAGGCCACATCAGATATCTATCAACATAAATTAGGCTGCGTACATGATAAGCTGCCTCTCTATTCCTGTTACAGCTTCTGTCTCCACAAGTCAGACAAGTTTTATAACTCAAATATTGCCCTTAATAGTCTCAACAGAAAACTCTGTTGGTGCCAAATCAGGAATACGCTGTATATTCTTGATATCTGTGTGTCAAAGCTTCTTCTGAAGCTTGCTGAATTTTGTGTGACAGTAAGCACCACTATACTGTGAAAAAATATTTTAATAATTTCTCCTACTAAATGCTTTGAGCTACAATTTTGCAAGTCAACCTCCTCCCAAGATCATGCACACTAGATTTAACATGTAATTGTTATTTGCATATTTATCTTCAAAACTTAGTCATTTACTTACACTAATTCAAGTGCAATCCCACCGTTTCCTACCACTACTATTCTCTCAGCTTGAGCCAAATTCTTCTGAAAAGCCTGCATGAAGAAACAAAGTCAATTACAACCTAGATCGTGTGTTCCCTCACACTGATCAGTTAACTCCTTTTCAATATTTTCTTGCTCCCTTTGGTCTTTTTATTTTCTCAGACTTCTGATACACATTCACTTATGCTAAGATCTGTTACAGAAGCTAATGCAACCAGTAAAGTTCTGTCACATTAAGGGATGACGTTACTGATACAGCCTCACAAGTCTCAAAATAGAGAATTGTTAAATAATTACATTTAAGCCAATCTGACAGTCTTTAATAGAATCTAAGAGACTTTTTTCTGTCCTAGAGACCATTAGTATTGTGACATCTATTAACCCAGTTTTACTGCAACTTGCATAGCATTCACAGTAATTTGTATAACATTAAAAAGGCAAAGATACAGAAATTTAGGAAAAATTCATGATCAGAAATCAGGAATTTAAAAAATAATTTGTAGCAAATCAAATAAACTATTTGTGCAAAAACCTTTCAGAAAGAAACAAGTCTCCAAATCCCTCTTAGTGGTGAGAGAAATTTAAAAAAAAAAAAAATATATATATATACCCCAGACAGTACTTTTTAGATCATAATATAACCACTTCAAGTATTTTCTTTCAAACAAACCAAGAAACACTACTATCAGACTAACTATTGCCATTACACGAAAATCCGTGTTTCAGCCTCTTTCAGCTTATACCTACCCGTTACCCCTCGTCCTGTCACTACACTCCCTGATAAAGAGTGCCTCCCCATCTCTCCTGTAGGCCCCCTTCAGGTACTGGTAGGCTG